ACCAGGAAGGTAGGATGCTTGGGCACTCTCTGGTAAGATAAGGCCCTGTGGAGATACACAGATGAATAGTTATGGGTTAATAATAAAAGAGAGCTAGCCAATAAGAAGCCTGAGCCAATTTATAATTAGTATAAGCCTCTGTGTGTTTATTTGGGACTAAACAGCTGCGTGACCTAGCTGAACAGAAACTTCTGTCCACATGCAGAGGCTAGAGGAGGATTTCTGGTGAGTTCCTTGACAGTTTTCTTCTTTTATCTACTGAGGCAGGATCACATACTGGGGGCAGAACTTGATGCTTCTGTTACTCTGGCTAAGTCAGACCTCCCTTCACCCCCTCCCTCTACAGCATTGGGGTTCCAGCTGCCTGCTACACCCACCCAGTTTATATATGAGCCATCTCTCTACCTCTAGGTATTCCACCTTAAGCAGTCCCCATTTGTGGGTAGGGGATAGTAAGGGAAAGGGGGCATGGAGGGGGCACTGCACACATATACTTGTGTGAAAATATCCATATATAACACAGGGTTATGCATAATGAGTATACATAATACAATTTGTTGGTGGTGGTGTTTTTTTTTTTTTTTTTTTTTTTTTTTTTTTCTACACAGGGTTTTTTTTTAGCTTTGGAGTCTGTCCTGGAACTAGCTCTTGTAGACCAGGCTGGTCTTGAACTCACAGAGATCTGCCTGCCTCTGCCTTTCTGGAGACCAGGCTGGCCTCGAACTCAGCAATCTGCCTGCCTCTACCTCCCAAGTGCTAGGATTAAAGGTTCGTGCCACCAACGCCTGGCTACATAATACATTTTTTAAGTCCACATTTATGAAAGAGAAAGAAGCCTAGTGATTATTGAATGCTGCATTTAAGTTCACAAGGACTCTGGGCCCAGAAGAACCCCCCTACCACAGGTCTACTCCTTCCAATGGGCACAGAACAGATGCCTTCAACTGTTACTTTGGGGTTCAAACTTGGCTTCCCAATCTAAAGTTTCAAATCATAAGCAATGTAGTCTGACAGCCAAAGGGAGGGGAGCCTTGGGAGAGGCATCTGTGCTTTAGAATGCCCCTCCTCTGCCAGGACACCAGCATGGGATCATCATTACAATGTCCCTCCCCCATTTTGTCCATTCCTTACCCTGAGGGACTGAGAGTAATGTTATGGGCTTGGTATGATAAATCTGGACATATGCTGCACCAGAATGAAATATTATAGACTAGTAGAAGCCAAAGTCAAAAGGCATCCAGTTTGGGTCAGACAATCATGAGCAAGAACTGTTCTGCTGTCCGCTCTTGTCTTCAGTCCCCTCTGGAAGGGCAATCACACCTGACTCTATTTTTGCTAGATTTGAGACAGGACGTAGCTCAAGTTCATGACCCTCCTCATCAGCTTCTGAAGTACTACAATTACAGGTGGGTACCACCCTGAAGCAGCGCCATCTCAACACTGACTGAGAAGTGTATCATCATTTTATAGACTATGATAAATAAAAAAACAAAAATAAATACATAAAGGATCCCCTCAAGAATCTGTGATACCAGCTTTGGTGTGACTGGCCAGTGAGGAGAGCCAACCCTAGCACTTGAGAGTGATGGCAACTTGACAGGATCTAGAGTCACCTAGGAGACACACCTGTGGGCACAACTATAAGGCAGTGTCTTGGCTGGGGCTAACTGAGACGGAGAGACCTATCATAACAGCGAGGTGAGCACCAGTGCATCTCACTCTGCTTCCGGATTGCACATGTGAAGTGACCAGTTGATGCATGCCTCCCTCCCCACTAGGGTGGACTGTATTCTTCAACTGTGAGGAGACTGAACCCCTCCTCTAAGTCTCTTTTGACAAGCATTTTGTCACAGTAACACGAGAATGAACAGACATTAGACAAGGCTTGGAAGAAAGTTACACGTCTTGGTCTTGAAAACGAATGAAGGGGGACAACAGGATAACAGCCAATGTTCTTTTTTTTTTTTTTTTTTTTTTTTGGTGTTTTGGGACAGGGTTTCTCTGTGTAGCTTTGGAGCCTATCCTTGAAGTAGCTCTTGTAGACCTGACTGGCTTTGAACTCACAGAGATCCACTTGCCTCTGCCTCCCAAGTGCTGGGACTAAAGGCGTGTGCCACCAACGCCCGGCTGACAGTGTGTTTGCCTGATATTTCAAACCAGAATCTCTGCTTTGATTGATTTTTATATATGCAGTCAGTGTGGTCATAGTCCTAATGCAGAGAAGGCATGTAGTACCATGGGGGACTAACAAAACTGTATGAACTTATTTTGAGAATGTTACTGGTTTTATGCGATAATCAATATGGAAGTGTTAAATATGAATAAAAACCCATGTCTTCAAGTCAGCACATATGTTATTAAATTTTATAGGTGTATGAGTTAATGTAAATGTTGTTTTACAGGGCTTATTTGTCAAGTGTACTCTAGTAAATATAATACAAGGAAGAATAGAAATAGAGCTATAGAATACTAGATTCTGTGATCCACTGTTGTTATTTTATGTGGTGTGTGTGTGTGTGTGTGTGTGTGTGTGTGTGCATCTTTGTACACCTATGCTGTGAATACTCACATTGAGGTCTGAGGTTGACATTGGGAATCATCCCCAATTGTTCTTCCATCATATTCTTTAAGATAGGGTTGCTCAGTTATGCTCAGAGCTCATGGAGCTGTCCAGTCTCCTCAGCCAGTTATTTCTAGGGATCCCTAGTTCCATCTTCTGAGGCTAGGATTACAGGTGGGCCACCATGCCACCTGGCATTGTTATGTGGAATTGAGTATTTGAACTCTGGTCCTCACACTAGGATGGCAAAGATGTAACCGCTAAGCATCTCCCGAGTCCCTGTCACTGTTCTGGTTGTGTCTAAGCTAATAACCAAATTAATGTCCTCACTCTTGAAATCAACATATATAGTAATCGTGTCTCAAGAGCATGCCATGCATTTTCAACATGTCTATAGAATTTGGAATATATATTTCTTGGTCATAGATACATTCATTATAGTCTCCTAATTTTCATAGTTTAGCTGAAAAAAAAAACTATAGACCTTAAATCTCAAACACTGAAAACACATTCTAAGGGGTTGTGGGTCATATGCTTAGCCTTACAGTGTCCTCACACGGTAGTACCTGTAGGGTACTGTCCCCAAAGTCCTACTTCTGTATAAAGCAGCATGTGACAGCTCTGCTTATTTTATATTTGTTCATTTAATTTCTGATGAACTGAAGTTTTGGGGTGGGGTGGGGTGGTGTGGGGGAGAGCCCATGCTTGACTAGAGAGAGATGGTATGTGGTAGGCCAAAGGTCAAGTTATCAAATTTTCTTTAGCCACCTCATTCAGGGAAAATCCTTCCAGAATGTATAACCAGAGCCTCTAGGTTCTACCAATGCCGTGAGATAGCATCTCAGACATATAACAAAGGCTTCCTGCTTTGCTGTAACTCACTGAACTCATGTTCCCCACAATTTATTTTAAAATTGCCATGATCTATATCTTCAATTGTTCTGCTATTAGAACCCTAGGAAGCTGTTGTTACACTGGGGCATGGACAGTGAAGTCATCAGAATCAATGTTCCCAGGCCACACTCACTTACAGTTGGCAATCAACAATCTCTATTTATCTCTGTGGTGAGAGCTATATTAGTTTGCTTGTTTTGTTTTTGCATTGATACCAAAACATGTGAGCTTCCTAGAACTGCCCTTAGTGGCCTTATGGATTCTTCCTATAGGAAATTAAGTTTGTAATTAAAGCAAAATTTTCTTATAGAGCCATGGAGTTTGGGTTATAGTATGTGGTTGGTGTAAAGATCTCCCTAATTAGCAAGCATTTTACCTAATCAAATTTTAAGGTCAAATGGCTCTTTTTAGACTATGGATGCTTTGTATGGGCCAAACGTAATAAAGCAGGGGCTGTAAGCAGGCCTGCCTGCTGATGTATTCAACACTTCCCGGGACACAGCACATGGAGACGCCCCACCGCCCCACTTCCTCATTAAAACATAATCTCAGCTTCCTTTCTAACACAGAGAATATGAAGACTCTTGCATTTTTCCATTGGCTTCTGATACTCAATGATTGTTTTATTTTATTTACTTCTTACTATAATGACATACATTATATAGTACTTGACTACAGCCATGCAATTTAAGAGGTGTTTTCAGACCCTTATGGAAACACTCGAGACAGCCTCAGAAAATAGAAAATGGTGAAAGCATTTGCTGAGAAATCTCCCAGCCCCCTTCCTTTCTTAAAATAGCTCTCTCGGTGTTCACAGTATACGATGGATGGCACATAATTATGATGGTTTCTAAATGACAAATGGACAAATCAGGTGCTTGGAATAGAAATACTCAAACCCCCCTATTGAAATTATGGCTTTGGCACAAAATGCCATTTATTCAGTCATTCAAACAACTCTATCCCATTTCCTTGAGAACAGGAAAAAAAAAAAAAACCTACAAAAGCCCAGGAACCTTTTCCTTGTTGTTCTAAAAAATAAATAGCCAAGGGGACTGATTCCCAAGGACCAGCAGGTATAGAGCCACAGCTCACTGAGGGTTAGTACTAGGAGGAGAAATGGATGGCTAAAATAAAGTCCCTGGTCAGGGACATGGCTCAGTGGGTAAGAGTGCTTGCTGTGTTCGTGGGGACCTGAGTTTGAATCCCCAGCACCCATGTAAAATGCTGCTCACAGCCACATATGAAGTAATTCCCACACTCGGGGTTAGGGTTATATGGACCCAAGATGACTGCTAGGAACTGTTGGCTGACAGCTGGCCAGTCAGTGAGAGACTCTGTCTCAAGGGATAGGATGGACAATGACAGAGCAGGACCTCTGGTGTCTCCCTCAACCACACTTAAAGAATCCTGTACACATGTGGGCATCCATGATACCCATCTCCCTGGGCAGGGGCTTCATTTTTTTTCATGGCACAGGAAGTCTGCTTTGGCAATTTCTTGAGGGAGACTGCTGCCCAAATCCCAAGCAGTTCTCAGCACTCACCTCTCCTTCTCGGGGCCATGGCCTCCCATTCTGGGTGTACTTGCTCTGATTCTGTCTCTTCTTCTGCCCTCCATCAGCGAATTTGCACAGTAAGGGCTCACTGGGGGCTGGAAAGAAAAGAAAGGGAAGCCACATCAGTAGACGCTCCATGCAAATAGCTAATTATTCCAGTTGAGCTCACAGTGGATTTTTGTTATGCGTGTGTTCTGAAGCAATATTTCGGTTCTGGCCCTCTCTCCTCTCAGCTTCACTGCCTGGTGTTCTAACCATTGCTGGGCCTCAGAAAAGTACTGGCAGACCTTAAGAGATTGTAATATATACTCCTGGAAAAATGGCTGGAGTAGAATGTACACTTGACTCCAAGATGTGAGTCTTCTGGAGTAATGAGGAACACGCATCCTCAGCACTTGTGTGTGGTTACCTCTTCCTGGGGCAGCTGTGCTGTCACCATGCAAACTCTAGAATTCAATTCTGAGAAACCAGAGCAGCAGGTTCGAGAAGGGACCAGACACAAAGTTACACTCAGACACACACTTCATTAGAAGACAGGGTTTGCCAACAATGGAGGGTCATGATTTGGGCTTTGAGGTGTGAGAACTCTCAATCCAGAGGCAGTGGATAGGGGCAACATGACAGGGGGCCTAAAGGGAAGAGAAATCCTCCTGAATGAAGGGACATTCTGGCGTTTGAATGTTTCCAGGAATGGGTGCAATGGTTTATACCACGTGATTTAATTTGACAAAGCCTATTTGCCAAGGAGTCAGGTAATGAGTAGGGCTGCAAGGTCACAGCATAGCCTCTTAACTCCCTGCCCCAGATGGAAGGGTCCAGGGTGTGTGGTGTGTGCTGCTCCATTTCTCTAGGCTACAGGTCTTGTAGTTTCATAACCAGCATCTTCATGTGGTAAAACAGAAAGAGGATTCTGGGAGCTGCTTGCCAAAAAAGGGAGATATTTGCTAAATAGCAGCCACATTCACTTCATTTTCTCACTAATCCTCTATAACTTCACAGATGCTCTAAGTGGCCCCTCCTCTCAAGCTTCCCACCCTTCAGTTTCCCAGTAAAAGTTAATGAGAAGCCAGGGGAGTCTGACTGTCGGGACACCAAGTGAAAAATCTGATAAACTATCACCAAGTGTGTCAGGGCAGCTCCCAGGAGGGGCCGGCTTTTGGCTCTTCCCTCCTCCTACCTCTAAACTGCTAAGGACTCATCCCTTAAAAGAGTTCTCCCCAAGTCCTCCTCAGCTCAGAGAACTGATGTGGAGAAAGGGCTGCATTTGTCTGAAGAGAAAACACAGAGGTTGCCCACAGAAACTCAGGAGCCAGGTCCAAATCCAAGAAGAAGAGAAAGAGGTGGAGGGGTACCTTGAAGACCAAGACCCTATAAAAGGCTTCCTGCCCCTGTCTCCCCATACCCGCTTCCTCCCACAGAAGTAACACTAATCCCTGGAAGGTAAGAATTTGATATAGAAAAACATCCTTTGTTTTCTAAGAGTTGACCCTGAGTAAACTTGTCTGTTTCTAATAACTTCAGCCTCTAAGCTATTTGGTAGATGGGTAGAAGTGTGAATCTTAGATTCCAGTAACAGAAGGTTATGCATGCTTTTATCTGATTAATTACAATGACTATAGGGGTCTGGTCATCTTTAGTAAACACATTTCCTTGAAGAATGTGATCAAAATTAAAGTATATTAGAATGTCTTTTCCAACAACAGCACTACAAAATGTCTTTCTCAAAACCCAATAAAGCAACACTATGTGTTGACAATTGGTGACTGCCTGAACATCCCTACATGTCTGAAGAGAAAGTCACATTGACCCAGCAAACTTGGTGAATACATTGAGAAGGCTGAGAAGGTTAATTGGTGTGTGTTGGAGTAAACCAAATATTATTTTGTAGGCTCATAATTAACCAAAATAAATCACCTACTCCCCTTGTCATCTGAGAATATGAACTCAACTAAATATTAATTGTGTCCCTGGGCATTTTCAAGTTTGAAGACAATTCTAATTGTCCCAAAAATCAATAGTGGAGAAAGAATACAGGCAAGCCAGCATCTACAAATAGGCTACACACAAATATGAGTCTACAAATAAGTATTTAAAAGTAATTTGGCTCTAAAGGACAGTGATATTTTGTCCCCCCCTTAGTCTATTCTTAGTTGTAGATATCTATTTTTCAGACTAAAAAGAGAAAAAGACCTGGCTCACCAATGGTGAAGAGTAATGGAAGATAAGATGGGGTTCCTACCTATATAGAACATACACCATCATAGGGTGGTTCTCCTTCTTTCCAATGCCACTTTCCACAGTTTTAGTTATTAGGGATCAAGTGTGGTTCAAAAATATTGACTGCCTGTGTGATGGTGTAGTAGACACCTTGTGTTGCATGCATAAGGCCCCAAGTTCAGTCCCTAGGACTGCATAAACTGGGCAAGGTTCCTATGCTTGTAATCCAAGCACTCTGCAGGGTGGAGGCAAATCAGTTCAGCATCATTCTTGGTTACATAATAAGTGTGATGTCTGCTTGGTATACATAAGATATTGTCTTTTAATTAATTAATTAGTTAATTAATTAATTAATGTACAATCCAGAAGCAATCAACTCATTTCTTTTATTTGGTTTTTTGAGACAGGGTTTCTCTGTGGCTTTGGAGGCTGTCCTGGAACTCACTCTGTAGACCAGGCTGGCCTCGAACTCACAGAGATCTACCTGCCTCTGCCTCCTGAGTGCTGTGATTAAAGGCGTACGCCACCACCACCCAGCATCAACTCATGTTTTATATTGCAATGTTATGAAAACTTGATGAAATTTTGTAACCATTCTACCCCACCTCACCTTACCCAGGACCTGAGTCCATCTTTATCCAGAATTTCCTATTGCATATGCTACTGGCCTGGCAGCTCCTTAGCTCCTGCTGTACATACCAAATCTTCTGTAGGGTATTCAGTGCTTGTGTACAGATAACCCTTGACTGCCGAAGGGAAGCCATTAGGTTCTTCTATATAAGGAGCAAAAGGCTCTAGAATAACTAAAAGATGAAAACAAACTATACACTGAAGTCATATTGTCTACTGTACTTCATGTTACCACATGAGTGCAGGAACTGTTGTATGATAATTTATTACAAATCAAAATAGTCTCTCCAGAAAGGGGGTGGGGGCAGGTTCATCTCACACGTCTGTGAGAAAAGAACTGTGGAAGATACTGCCCGTCCCCAGCAGTTACAAAGGAATAAACAGTGTTTGGAGAGGCAATGGGTGAGGGGGGAGGCTCTACCAGCTGAGCTGTAGCAAGCAGAGATAGTCAGACATCCAGCTGCTTGCAGCTGTACAGAGTGAGGATGCAACTTTTGTCAGTAGTCTCCTTTGTTCAGCTGGCCCTTTTGGTAAGGCAGCTGCTTTTGTTTTTCCTTTTCTTTTACTTAAGGTCTTCTGTAAGTAAACCCTCACTCACACTCACACCAGCAAATACAAATGCATTGGTTCACCAAGTAGATGCGACCGTTACAATTGTGACTCTGGTCTTTCATGGGTTCCCTTTCTGAGTGAGTAAATGTGTGTATGTGTGTGTGTTTTACCTCCACAGAAATCTCTCATACAATAGTATCTGTGGTGATTTATTATTACTTGTGATTTAGTAAAGCTTGCCTGAGGATTCAGAAAGCAAAGCCAGCCTCAAGCTATGCAGAGATCAGGCAGTGGTGATACACACCTTAAATTACAGCAGCCAGAAGCTAGGAGGTGGTGGTGGCACACACCTTTAATCCTAGGACTCCAAGGCCACCCAGATCTACACAAGAGTGAGCTAGTCCTAAATAGCTCACACAAAGATGATCTCAGCATCTGGGATCACATATGTTTAATCCCAGCACCAGAGGAGTATAAAAGATAGGAGAAGGGTCTTCAATAGTCACATCAGGGATTCACTCTCCAGCCACATTGAGGATAGGAAGAAACTCAGTCTCAGGATTCTCCAGCCACACTAAGGAGAGGCAGTAGTCTGAGGTTTGGCGGAGCCAAGATCATCTTTCAGTCTGAGGTAGAGTGAGAGCTACTGTCTGGCTGCTTTGCTTTTCTGATGTTCAGCTGGAGGCTTGAACCCCAATATCAGTCTCTGGGACTTTTATTTTTTGTGCTACAAGTACATTTTGTATCATACAAAGTAGAAACATGGGCACAGTATAATGTTTTCAGTGTGAGGGAGCAATCACATCCACACCAGTTTCATGACAGTATAATATCACACTTTTTTTCATTTTCTTTGTGATTGTTGTTAATATCTTACTATGTGTTGTGGTTTAAATGAGAATGTCCCCCATAGGCTCAAATATTTGAACACTTGGTTTTCAGTTGGTAGTGCTATTTGGAAGTAGGATGCAGGGTGACGTTGCCTGGTTGGAGGAAGTACATCGCTGAGGGTGAGCTTTGGGAGTTTAAAGACACATGCCGTTCCCAGTGTGCATGCTCCTCCTGCTTCCTGCTTGTGTGTGAAAATATGAGCTCACAGCTCCTCCCTGCTCCTGCTGCCCTAAATGCCACTGGCTGCCATGCCAGATACTTACCCGCTAGAACCGTAAGTGCAAATAAACTCTTCTAGAAGTTTCAGTGGTCACATGCTTTACCATGACAACAGAAAAGTGACTAATGCATATGGTTCATGTATGAATGAAGATGTGTGGGATTTGTTATAAGGAGCAATTTTAGGCAGGTACTAGAGGTTGAGGGCATCCCCTGAGAATAAGATCCCTAAACACACATGGTGCCCTATATAGATCATGGAGTCCATGTGCTTTCTCATTGTGATCTACTGAGCATCGGACTTGGGTGAAACAACACGGATCTCACAAGGGAAAGACTGAACATGTTATCTGCAGACACTTCTGCCTTTGATCCTGACTGGTGTCGATTCACCCCAGAGGACCAAGCTAAGAGCTAAACGCAATCACTAATCCCAGTATCTGATGAGTAAGAATACTTCCCGAGAGATTTGGAAACTGTGTATGCTGAGGAAAACTGTTCCTCTCCAGAACGCTTGCTCCCTTGGCATTCTGGAGATTCTGGCCCCATTCATCCATTAAATGGGATGCAGTGCTCACATGCGACC